AATTCAGGAAGAACTGACATCTTCATGTGGAGATTTCTAATCCAAGAACACTATTTCAATTTATTTAGGTTTTATTTCTTTTATCATAATTTTGTAGTTTTCAGCATATAGATTTTGTTTTTGTTTGTTTTTTTTTTTTGAGGAAGATTAGCCCTGAGCCAACATCTGCTGCCAATCCTCTTCTGTTTGCTAAGGAAGACTGGCCCTGAGCTAACATCCATGACCATCTTCCTCTACTTTATACGTAGGATGCCTGCCACAGCATGGCTTTTGCCAAGTGATACCACGTTCGCACCCCGGATCCAAAACAGCGAACCCTGAGCTGCCGAAGCGGAACATGCGCACTTAACTGCTGCGCCACTGGGCCAGCCCCAATTTTGTATTTTTTTGTTAGATTTATGCTTAAGTACTTCTTTCTGTTATTTTTTTAGCTATTATAAACATTATTTGTTAAAATTTTGATATCCATTGCTTATTGTTAGTATACTGAAATACAACTGACTTTTGTTTTGACCTTATTCCTGCAACCTTGCTAAACTCATTAGTTCTAAGATTTTTTTTTGATTCTGAGTAATTTTTTTATAGAAACAATCATTTTACCTGAGAACAGGGACTGTTTTATTTCCTCCTTTCTCATCTGCATGTGTTTTATTTCTTTTTCTTACCATATCGCACTTACTGCTAAGACTTCCAGTCCCTTGCTGAATAGGAGAGTTGAGAGCAGACATTCTTGCCTTGACTCTGATCTTATGGGGAAAGCATTTGGTTTTTCACCACTAAGTATGATGATAGCTTTAGGTTTTTTATAGCTGTCTTTTATGAGGTTGAGGAATATCACTTCTTTTCTTAGTTTTCTGACAGTTTCTTTTTTTAAAAAAAATAATGAATGGATGTTGTATTTAGTCAAACGCTTTCTTTGCATCTATTTATATGATCATGTGGGTTTTTTTCTTTAGACTATTTACACTGATGAGATTTCCAAATAGTGAAGCAGTATTGAATTTCTGGGATAAATCCCAACTAGTCGTGTGTATTATTTTTCTAATATATTGCTTGATTCATTTTGGTAATATTTTGCTGAGAATTTTTAAATTTATGTTCCTGAGGGATATTGGTCTGTAGTCCTCCTCTGGCCCCTCCACTTCCTCCTTCCTCTTTCTCTCTTTCATTGTCTTTGTTGGGTTTTGGTATGAAGATAATTCTAGCCTCAAAAATGAGTTAAGGAGAGTTCTTTTCTCTACTATTTCTGGAAGAGATTATGCATAATTGGTGGTATTTCTTCATGAAATGTTTGATAGAATTTTCCAGTGAAAACATCTGGGCCTGCAGATTTTTTCCCCCAGATTTTAGCAACAAATTCAACTTCTTTTTTTTTAAAGTTTATTTTTTTTGTCCTTTTTTTTTTCCTTAGGAAGACTAGCCCTGAGCTAACATCTGCAGCCAATCCTCCTCTTTTTGCTGAGGAAGACTGGCCCTCAGCTCATATTCGTGCCCATCTTCCTCTACTTTATATAGGGGACGCCTACCACAGCATGCCAAGCAGTGCCAAGTCCGCACGCGGGATCTGAACCGGCAGACCCCAGGCCACCGAAGTAAAACGTGCGAACTTAACCACTGCGCCACCAGGCCGGCCCTCTTAACTTCTTAAATAGTTATAGGACTATCAGGTTATCTGTTTCATCTTGGGTGAGTTTTGTTAGTTTGTAGTTTTTGAGGAATTGGTCCCTTTCCTTTTTCTTTTCTAATTTATGTACATAAGCGGTATTCTCTTACTATCCTGTTAAAAATCTGCAGGGTCTGCAGTAATATCTCATTTTTTTACCTGATAATGATCATCTTTGCCTTCTATCTTTTTTCCTTCATCAGTTTTGCTTCATGTTTCTCAAGTTTATTGACCTTTTCAAAGATCCAGATTTTGGTTTAATTGATTTTCTCTATTGGCTTTATGTTTTCAACTTTATTGATTTCTGTTCTTTATTATTTCTTTTCTGCTTGATTGATGCTTTTTATTTTACTGGATTCCTAAGGTTTAAACTTACATTATTAATTTTAGACTTTTTTCTTTTCTAATACAAGCATTTAATGAAATAAACTTCCCTCTTATCATTGGCTCAGCTGCACCACACAAATTTTCACGTGTTTTATTTTCATTTTCATTTACCAAAAATCTTTTCTAATATCTATTGAGACTTTCTTTGACCCATGGACTATTTAGAATTGTGTTTTTAATATCCAAGTGTTGAGAGATTTTCCTGACATATCTCTGATATTAATTTCTTGTTTAATTCCATTGTGGCTAGAGAACATATTTGTATGACTTCAATTATTTTAAATTCAGGTTGTTGTATGACCCAGGATAGATCCACCTTGGTGAATGTTCCATGTAAACTTGAAAAGAATGACTATTCTGCTGTTTGGGGATGAACTGTTCTGTAAATGTCAATTAGATCCAGTTGGTTGGTAATGTTTTCCTTTTTGTTTACCTTGTTTGTGGTCCAGTCAGCTTCTTGAATTTATAGGTTTAATCTTTTGCCAAATTTGGGAGGTTTTCAGCCATTATTTCTTCAAATGTTTGTTCAGCACTCTACTCTTTCTCCTGTCCTTTTGGGACTCTGAAGAGATGTATATTAGAACTTTGGTTGTCCCGCAGGTCCCTGAGGTTTTGTTCATTTGTTTGCCAGTCCTTTTTTCTCTATATTGTTCAGATTGGATAATTTCTATTGCTCTGTCTTCAAGTTCACTGATTTTTCCATTGTTTCCTCTCCATTCTGCTATTAATTCCATCCAGTGAGATTTTAATTTTGGTTATTGTATTTTGTGGTCCTAAAATTCCCATTTGTTTCTTCTCTATACACTTCATTTCATTCCTGATTCTTTATATTTTAATATGTGTTTCAAGAATATTTGTAACTGTTCATTTAAGCACTTTTATAATAGCTGTTTTGAAGTCTCACATATAATCTCAATACCCATTTTATCTTATTGTTGGTATCTATTTATTATTTTCCATGCAAGTTGAGATTTGCATAGTTCTTTGTTTGCTGAGTAATTTTGGCAATGATGTTGAAAGAATATATTTCAAGATATGTAGTACTCAGAGATTCCATAAATATTTATGTCATGAGGGGAAAAAAAACCAGCCAAAGTCTGTCTTTTTGATGATTTACTAAGAATTCTTTTTTTGGAAGGTTGTAGTTTAACAATTGAAATTCAAATAATATTATATTACTTATTAGGCATCTTAATAATAAAATATGCATCTTTAATGAAGTACTGGAAAAGACTGAATTCTCAAGACTAGCTACCTGAGACTTCGGTTTTTGTTTTAGCTTTATACCATGTTTTCCATGTGCAGGATAATTTGAAATCAGTCGGTTAACATCATACCAGTTTTTCATTCTAAAGTATAATTATTTTTTCTTCTATTGGTACAGCTATTTATCTTTAACGTGGCACTACGTACCTAAGTAAAAGATGAAATTCTCCCACTTACAGAGAAGAAAATAATGATTTCTTCTCCTCACATACAAGAACTACCAATTCTTCCCTTGTAAAGGGCAACTAGGAGCAGGAAGGGTGCCTAGGGCATGAGTGGCTCCTCTAGGTTTTGCTAACTCACTTAAAATTTCCCCTGCATCTGTGTAGTTAGAAATTGATACGCAGAACAGAATAGATTTTGTGTGACCACAAGGTACCCACAAAATTTGCTAGGATGATGGTAACAATTCTTTAGGAGGAGCAAGGTTTCTATCTGCCCAATTAAAAGAAAAAGAAGAAAATAAACTAAAAACAAGCAAACAACCAAAAAGAAAAGAAAGAAGTTGCCTTCTAATGGACACAATCACGTCTTTCCATTGAGACACAAACACCTTTACCAGGTAGTGTGCTTGTGGCCTTTTGGTTCTACAGTCTGAGATTCAAGTTCAGCTCTGCCAGTTACCAGCTGTGCAACCTTGCTCTCTGGACTGCTTGCTCAAGTCTGAGATAGTGGTCCTAACACTTCCCTGCAGGAGCTTCTCTGAGGTTCAAGAATGTACGTTAAAGATTAGAACCAAACATAGTGCCTAGCACACCGAGTTAATAAATAAGTAGATTTCCTTCTTTTCCTTCTTCCAAGAAGCAATTCTACTTAGTCTCAAACAAAAGTCAGTAGATTTAAAATTGCTCCAAGGGGAGCCGGCTCCGTGGCCAAGTGGTTAAGTTCGCCCGCTCCACTGCAGCGGCCCAGGGTTCAGATCCTGGGCGCGGACATGGCACCGCTTGTCAGGTCACGTTGAGGCAGTGTCCCACATGCCACAACTAGACGGACCTGCAACTAAGATATACAACTGTGTACAGGGGGTTTTGGGAAATAAAGCAGAAGAAAAAAAAAAAGATTGGCAACAGTTGTTAGCCCAGGTGCAAATCCTTAAAAAAAAAAAAAAAGGAAGCTTGGCAACAGTTGTTAGCCCAGGTGCCAATCTTAAAAAAATAAATAAATAAATAAATAAAATTGCTCCAAGGAAGAATTTCCAAATTTCCTGTAGTAAGTCATTTCAATGTGGTCTAAGAAAAAAATCACAAAATCTAAGTGTATGTGAGTGAAGTCTATTTAATGGGGTTTTGATATTGACCAAAGTACCTCCTGTTATCAGTCATTCTGAGATATCCCAGTAATACTTACAGGTAAGATGAGATGAAACAGCTCAAACAATAAAAAAATACCTAAATAAATCTGAACTTTCTACTTGACATTTTTGGGATGGATAGCACTGATAAGATTTTAAAATGAAATTAACATATCTTTGGCAAATTAATTATTAAGAGAACTTTGCCCTTGTTAAGTACTATTTTAAGTTTTACAATTTAATATATAAACTACATCTTTGCTACACCCAGGAAGAAAACATAATTTTCACTGAAGGAATTACAATAAAATTAGGAAATTTTGCTTAAAACATTAATTTAGATGGTGGACTAAATTTTCTTTTCTTAAAAAGAGAGAAAAATACTGTACTTACTTCTAAGATTATGAAGTAACATATCTAGTAAAGTCATAAATTTTGAATATTGAATAATAGAAAAGTCCATTCCTCTAGCCCACAAAAATCCAGATACATAATAATCTAGTAGGATGGCTTCCTTTAAACAGGTTTGAAGATTTTTGAAATTCAAAAACTTTTCCAGTTTTCTGTAACAAAAAGAAAAATCCATATATTAAAATCAGATTACATACTGAACAGTTCCTTTTCTAAGTTTTGAAAACATAGATATTTTTTTGAATGAAAATTCAATAATGCCCATAATCTAAAAATAGTCATAGTTATATTAAAATCCTAAGTCCAAAATGACATTCAAAGGAGAAACAGAAAAAGAGAGCAACCTCTTTTGGTCTTCTTCCTCCACTTCTTTATTCTTCTTCTAATTCTCCTTCTCTCCTTTTTCGTCTTGTTCCTTCTTCCATCTTTGAAGTATAGCAGCTTACTAGTATATTTTTTCTCTGAAATGCAGTGTCTTCTCCCATTTATGCAATCAAGTTTATTTCTGACAATGTTCCGGAACTAGATTATTAAATATTCACTGTTTTCTTTCTCAAAGAATCCCAATTGTATACATTTTACTCAAATTTTCTACAGCTATAATTTTCTCTCTAACCTGCAAAACATTTTTTCAAATTTATTTCCTTTTCTCTTTATATACTTTTCTCATTTCCGTCTTCTATGTCCCTTAGAGTTTTCAGCAGTGTTCATTCTCCCTGGGGCTGCTTATAAATTTCACCTCTGCAAGATCTTTCCTTTTCTACTTTTTTAAATGTGTTTTATCACCTTTTATTTCTTAGTATCTCTTCCTTGAGTTTTCATATCTCTGTTTTATGCTCTCATAGTGATTGCTTCAAAATTTTTTTTTAATTCATAAATATTTGACCATATTTTTTGTCTGCTCATGGCTATATTTTTCTGTTATATTCTCTTTGCCTGTCGGTTCTTTTTCCTATTCTTCAATTATTTTTTTCTTGTAATGTCTTTGTATGCACATTCCTTGTTTAGTACTCATACTTGGCCATGTTAGAAGCTATTTTCTGTATGAAGTAAGTTTGTGCCAATTATTCTAGTTTTCACTCGTTTTTAAATTAGTGGGGAAACAGAAAAAAAGTAGGATTGGTTCTCTTTACTATCATGTAAACAATCTATTTCTTGTAAATATGGGAAGTATCTGTCCAGACTTGTACATCCTGGTCCTGCTGTTTCACATAAAGTTTCTTGGAACAGCACTTGAGGGTTTTATCCTTACCTGGAAGAATAAGTATATTTTTTAGCTCATTCTAAGATCTTCAATCATGTGTATCCTCTCTGTACTTTCTCCTGCCCTTCTGCTTGATCCAGAATGCTCCTGGCAGTCCTCCTCACATTTTGTGGTTTGGGCTTTCAGAATTCTTTTGGCTAAAGGTGGAATTGGTATTTCCTTGTTGTTTATATATTATTTGCGAGGTAGTGTGTGTGTGTGTAACAACCTTATACTGACATTTTTTTAAAGAAAGGAAGTCCTTATTCATAATATTGAAATAAATTATATGATCAGAATAATAAATAGAGCAGGATTAAACAAGTTTAGGAACAAATAAAGCCAGCATTATGTTTAACTAACTCTCTAATGTCCATTTCATCTATAGTGGTATCAGGACAGACCTCAAACTGAAAGTGAGCTCTGATTTTCCTAAGCCAATCAGAGTGATCTCATCCCCATTCCCATAATGCCTTACAATGCCATTTAGTATTTGGCATTCTCTATAATAGTTAGCGGTCTACAGTGGGCACTCTTCTAAACTGTTATAATTAATTTGTAACTAAAGGTGAAGTTCATTTTGTTCTGTGGAACAAAAATACAGAGAACAAGTAAGTAGCTTTAACTGCTCCTAGCAGTCATCTTATAACCATAAGAAAAATCAGTCCTAAGATTAAGCCTCATCTTTTGATACTACTGAGGCCTTGAGTCAATCAATTCTGGAATCAATCTCTCAACATCCTGTTATGTGATATTTCATATATATATGTATGTGTGTGTGTGTAAGTGTGTGTATACTTTCAACTTTTAAGTCAATGATCAGTTTTTTATGTTACATGCAACTAAAAGCATCCTGATACATTTTGTCAAGCCCACAAAGCAACTGGTAGATGCAGATGTGAAGGGGGATGGGAGGTTACATTACCAGCCAGGTGTCTTCAATTTGCAGTGGATATCAGTCAGCAAGACTTATTTTTCAATGTTTAATGTATAATATCATTAACTCAAGTGAAAGTCAGTAAGAAAACTTCTATAGTAATAAAAGCCTGTGGTATTTTAATGGGATCAATAAATAGGCCAAAGGAATAGAAAGCCCAGAAATAGACCCAGCATATATTGAAAATAGGTATATGACAGAGGTAGTATTTCAAATCAATGACGGTAGTATGAACTCTTCAAAATTGTTGCTGGAAGAATTGGCTATCTGTGTAGAAAATAAAATACTACCTCACCCAATACTTTGAAATAAAATCCAGGTGGATTAACTAAAACCACCACCTAAATTAGTACTTTATTTGGAATTACATACTTTTGACTCCCTAAATTTTGGTTACTCACTACTCTACTAATTTCTGCTACCATTAGGTTGCTAAGGAAAAGTCTGAGGCTGCCTGGTTATTTTCCTCTCTACATGATGGACTTTATCCCAGAGATAAGGTAATACATGAAGTTTTATTCTATCAAAATATTAAAATCAAAGCTTTTCTTTTATGAAGTTTAAATTGTTTTTTCTAATTCACTGTTGGATGTATACTCTAACATCTAATTGCTTTAATCTGCATTTTGTATAAGTTGTCTTAAATTTGTTTTCCACACTACTGACTTGATTTTCAGCAAGATAAGTTCTACATTGGTTTTATTCTTTACCCTTAGTTTCTTGTCCTAGTTCTCAGAGCTTCTTATTTACATATTTTATCATCTCTTCTTTAACCTCTTGTTTTACAGAATCAATGCCCTCTTTAATCATCAGCTTTTGCCTAACGTTTTCTTCTGTTTCCAGCAATTAGTCTTCCTTCTAAGTATACTCTTCATTTGCCATCTGCATGCTATGTTGTTTTTTATTAATTAAATATTTGACCTGAATAGTTGCACATGTTCTTTGCTTTCCATTTTTATTTTTCTAGTGTTTAATTGTATATGGATGAAGACAGCTATTTGCCTAAGAATATTTTGGTGAAATCTCTTTGAGGTCCTTCCACCTTTGCTTTCCTCTCTGTGCCTCCTCCACCACTTTCCCTGGTACTATTTGAATCTCAACCTTCAACTTGAACTGCAGGGCTAAATATTTACCATTTCTATTCTTTGTTCAGTCATTTCATTCAGAAGGAGATTACATAGGAAGGCATTTGGAGCAGATGCTGTTGTCGTTTGAATGCAAAGTTTCCATGCATTTTACCGCCAAATTTGTAAGCATCTCCTCTGGGGATAAGGGGAGATGGAACCAGGAAGAGGAGAGAGAAGGCCACAGCAGAGAGAATGTAGGGAAAGTGAAAGATGCTTACTAGTGATTCAGGAAGTTTGCTACAGTGATAGATGATGTAACTATCTACTTTGTCTCACCAAGATTTTCAGCAAAAATATTACATTATTCTTGTACGCTCTTGAAATTGGAGTGCATTTTATTTTTTAATATGATGACATGCAGAAATAAGCCTTAAGGCGAGAGCTGAACAGCTCCTGGAAGCCCAGTTATGGAAAGGTTATTAAAAGAACTCTCAGTGTTATTTCTATGTTTAAATAGTTATTTTCAATTTAGTCCCTATCCCTTTTTCAAAAAGGATTTAGGTGAATCTGTAAATAAAATCAGGATTATATTAAAACATGAATGATTGATAGTAGTTAGGAGATCATGAGAAATGGACCCAGACATTTACCTTGGTTGGAATTGTACTCCAGAAATATGTTTTAATGATACTTTAATGTGTTATTTGGTTGGTTGCTTTCATGGAGCACAATTTTCCATTTTAAAAGGTAGAAAAATGTGCTGATTTCCTATAATTTATTTAAATAAGTTTACTGCTTTGCAGACTATACAATTTTGGCATACTTCTGTCACTTGGTGACAGGATACCTAAATTATATTTCTGCTATTTTGAAAGGGATATAGTCCTCATTTACAATAATGCTATTTTAAATGGAAAGTGAATGATTGCGAATATTTCAGGATTACTGTTACAAAAATCATATAACGGACCTCAAGAAAATTACTTTGCAAAGAAATGGCTCCTGACATAACACTGGTGTCATTCCTCCAAAATTGATGTCCTAAAATTTGAAATTACTTCAGGTGAATTCTATTAATGAGATGGTCTAAAAGATCAAGCTGCTGTTGACCCTAGTTCTTTCTATACCACTAACTTCCGTACCACCCCCTTTTCATTTACTTTGTCCTAGACCTCACCTCTTAAAGATTAAAAATACTTTTAGAATTCAGATATTTAACAACAAAGGAAGCCAATAATTGAAAAATAAGGATTGTCACACAAGGTATGATACATGGTAAAACTTAAGATGTGGTAAGAAATAAACAAAAAGCATTTGTTTGTAATATCGTTTATTTAATATTAATTGCATTTAATATAACATCTTTTATTTAATATTTCATACAAATAAATTGTAAACTATATTAAATATCTGTCATTTGAATTGTATTATTTTGCTAGTATTAAATACTTATTCCTGTGCATTTCAATGATCAACATTTGGGGTTACCTAGAAATGGAGAATAATATTTTACTTAAAACATAAACAATCAGTGATATTAATACAATGAATCATTTTACTAATCAGTTGTGACACTGAAAATCAGAATTCCCAATGAGCATTCATTTCTACAAAAATGGCAAAATCACCATGAAATACCTGTTTAAAATCTGTGAAATTTTTAATCGACTAATACTTATAAAGACACAGTTAGTACGCAGTATGGCCAAATCACAGATCACCAGGATTTCTAGCAGGATTTTCAGGCGCTGGAGGTGAAGAGCATCTTGGGAAAAGGCCTGTCAGTGTCATTTGCCTGCTCTTAATATGCCTTCCCTCATCAGCTTTCTCTTCCAGCCAGTACCTCTGTCATATTTCCTTCTCACTAGTAAATTACCTCTATTCCACAATATTTGTAAGATTTGTAAATGATAATCACTGACAGAGTCATTTTCTATTTGTCCATTACGGTTCACAATACCCTGCTTCCATCCGAGGACTGGCATGCAGAGATCTTACACTGGGACATTATGGTCCAGAACATCACATCGTCCCCACTCTCCACACATTATGGCCAATCAGGCTTCCATTATTAGAGTGAGATAATTTTTAAAATGAGTGATTTACTAAAAACATCTTTTAGGAATTTGTGTTGTCAGATATATCTGACTAGCGTTCTAAGTAAAAGATCCACTGTAGAAATAAATGGCCTTAAGAGCGAGACGTACATATATTAGAATTGTTGCTTATAAATTCAGTTATATTCACACCTTTAAGCAAAATGAATGAAATCAGAGTACTTAGTACAGCTTCATAGCCAATAAAAATCACAGGTAGATGATAGATAATACTCAAGATTTCCAAAATAATTAAAGGTATTGACTAGTAATATTATAGAAAACACAACTTGCTCTTGTTATGATGAGACAGAATGCCCTTTAGGTTCTTGGGCATATTGACAGATAGTTTCATGAATGAAAGAAAAAAGTAGAAGAAGATGGCATATGCTAAAGACTGCTTTTAACAATAAATCCCTATTCTTGGTTAATATTAACAAGTTGGTTTGACAGGCATTTCTGCCATAAAGAAGACTACTGAGTGGTGCAAAAAAGTCAACGTTTGAGAATTTTTGTGTTCCAGAGACTGGACATATATATATTTCTGCACAATATAATAAATATTTTGAAAAGACGTTTAAAATATGTAAGAACATATCATGGTCATTTATAGATGCAGAATTAGAACTGCTCTATACTTGGTTGTAATATGAAAATGCTTACTGTTGAACTCCATCTACGTCCTCTGCTAGCATTTCAGTGATTTGGTCAACGGAAAGGAAGTCTGGAGACAGAATCTTTTCATGCTCCTGGAAGTCAACATCTTTCTATCAAAAAAAAAAAAAAAAAGGGATGAGTTATTTCAATCACACATTTTACATATTAATCCCAATAATATCAAAATTTGTTCTTACTATGGTCTAGTTGCTATCAGGAAAAAAAAATTAAAACCAACAGTCTCCTAGATAATCATTTTTCTTTTCTGTTTTTTGGTAATGGTACTTCTTTTCTGAAAAGTCAAATAGCTAGTCAATCTGTCTTCTGCACATATTTACAACTGCGTGATGGTTTTCAACAAGCAAATTCTTTTTTGACTGTCTACATATTCCTCATTGAATTTGGGGCTCAAGAAGAGGCAAAGACAAGTAAGAAAAACACGCTAGCCCCAAGAAGCTTAACATCTAGTGGGAGGAACAAACCAAAGGTGACTTTAAAACAAGAAAATGAAATGCAAAGTGAGCCAGGATATATCCAGCATTCAACCAAAAAGAAAGGCTAAGGACAGGGACAGGACAAGTAAAGTCTATAGAGAGGAGTTCCAGAGTGGATTTTGTGAGATCTGGCATGGATAATGCCCCAGGTGAATTATCGCGACACCAAGGTTATGAAGGCACACAGTTGGATACTGGTTCTGCAAATATGAAGTAGCTCACAATGGTGCATAGGGTATATGTGGGGTACTAGTTGGATCTAGGTGGCATGTGGGCATTAGGAATACATTGTGGAAGATCTTAAATTTAATAATTCAATAAATATTTACTGAGTGCTTACAAGACAGAAGATATTGTGCCAGGAACCATACATATTTTAGACCCTGGCTGGTTGAAGAAGGACAGCCTGAGGAGTTGGTTCTTAACAATACAGGGAAACCCATGAAGTTTTTGAGCACTTAATGACAAGATAAAACTGTGCTTTAAGGAAGGGTAATCTGTAACAGGGTTAGGAAAAGACACGAGCAGAGAAAGTATGCAGAGGAAGAGTTAAATGAAAAGGTCATTAAAACAGTGCAGGAATGATGCATTGGGCTGTACTGGGCCCCAAGCACTGTGTGTGAAAAGAAAGGGGTGACTGCAACATATTATACAGAGGGGACTAAAAGAGGGAAGAATGAATGGAGATTCTGAATTTCAGGAATAGGTCACTGGAGGGAAAAGGATGGTGATACTCAGGGTCTCCAAGAGCACATATGCCACCTTTGTGTGAACTAGACAGGGGCATCCTCCCTGGGTGGAGGAAGTGCTAAAAGGGTTTTTCCCAAGGCTGATGCAGCTCTGTGCCCAACTGCACTGCTTGTGAATACAGTTTCAGTTCCTGTTCAACCCTCAGATGAATTTTTTTGTTCAGAGTACAATCTGCACAACCATACAACCCTTGTTACAGCAAAAGAAATAGGAGCTTTGGAAGTTGATGAGTTTGGTTTCAGTGGTTGAGTTTAAGGTGAAATATGCATACCAAGGGAGAAATGTTTAGAGGTAATTAGAAATGCTAGAGTCAGAAAGGTCAAGTTTAAAGATGTTGGTTTAGGAGTCAACTGCAAGTATGAGAATGGATGAAACTGCCCAAAGCCAGAGCATGAGGAGAAGAGCTGTGAATGGGGAAGGGAAGAGGAAACTGAGAAACAGAGGTAAGATGGCAGATATTTTGCCACACAAAATCTAGGACTGTGAGATTTTGGGGAGAGAGGGGACAAACGTTTTCAATTAAACAAATCATTGATCCTTTCTTGTGAATGGGCTCCAAAAAATAAGAACAACAAGGAAATGCTTTGCTATAGTTAATCAGACCACATCCCAAATTTTCCTTATTCTTTTTCAAGAGTAGAAAAATCTCAAAGATAATACTTATTGGTAATGGTAATCAGTTTAATGTTTTTAATGCAATATTAGGTTATTATATTTTTATTATTAAAAATCTATTTGAAATAAAATGTTACTTTATTAGCTCTTTTTGTAATCCAGGTTTAGCAAATTAACCTAAACTAGGTCATACTATCAAATTATAAACTCAATATGAAAAAAATATTTTAGTACCTAATATGATAACTTACAGCTGGGACGCACTCATATATTTGTAAATTGAATCAAATGTACTCAGTTTTTACACAGGATAGTATTTTAGTCCATAATATATGACTATATATTTGTTTAAATGTTTGTTGGTTATATACATTTTTTATTTTTAGCAGTAAACTATACTTATTTCTGCACTGTCAATTCCATTAGATTGTAAATTCCTCAGGGACATTCATTCAACCTTTTACTTCTGTTTAGAATTCTGCAGATCCTAGTCATATACATAGGTCGTTAATAGACTGTCTGAATTCATCTCCACCTCATGATGACATTGTTAGATGATGGAGCATGATGAAAAGCAGGCCTTGGACTTAGAGATATCATGATGGTTTGGCTACTGATTAATTTTGTAACTTAGAGAAAGTCAATTGAACCTAAATTTGGAACATGTTAAAAAATCATTTTAATATGTTTTAATACACACAAGAGTGTATCATTGTTAATAATGAATAAAGATACACATGTAAATTATGCAGACATTTAGGTCAATCTTATTTGATTTGAGAATCTCTAGATAGGAGAAAATAGGTCACAAAAGAACACTATGAAAGAGAATACAATAATCTTAACCTTTTGTACAGTAATAATTCTAGCTAAGATGCCTAATATTAGTGCCTCATTTTTTTACTAAAACTTGATGGCTTAAGATAATTATCTTGTGTGTAGGAGGGTTTGCCTCTGGGTTTTTGTTTTCTTTTGCTTTAAATTGAATTCCTGGATCTATTTTAAACTAGAGCTATTTTCTGTTTGTTTATACACTGCCTTGCGCTAGAAAGGATATAAGGTGGTTAAAATCTTTAATCTCTCAACACATACATTCTGATTTGTAAAAATTAGAGATACAATAGAAAATTAGTGAATAGGCTATTAAAAAATGTGGCTATGTAATTGTGGCTTTCTCTGTAAAATTATCTCTCTGACTAGGTAATATTTAAGCTAAATTGCACTGTAACTCATTTTACTCCACCACCTGGTGGATTTTAGCAGTTATTCCAGAAGCAATAAAACTGTAAGGCCCAATATTACTTGCCAGATAATCTTTTATCTGAATTTTTTCTCTAATGTCACCTAAACTGTCCATATTTGAATATATGTCTTTCTTCTCGAATTTAAGCTTTCGGGGGCATCTTTGTATCTATCACTGGTAGCGTCTTTAAAGATTCTTAATAAATGTTCATTAAAAGAGAGATAACACATTTCACCAAGGATTACTAAAGAGAGGTTTCAAAGTCACAGAGAACATAAACTGCTCTACAGTTTCCACACTTGGAAAGGCTTTCTTCAAGCCTGAATAGAAATGAACTTAAGAGCAGCAGTTCTGTGTTGAACCATAGTGGAGCCAGAGGCAAAAGGAAAAATCGGTAATACTGACCCTGTCTTTATTTAAAATTTTGATCTGTTATGGATTTTTTTGCATTAATTTTGACTTTTTAAAGTACTGCATTAAAATATAGTGTATCTTGACTAATGAATTTTGTGCCCAAGGAGTGCCTCACTCAACCTCACTAAAATCCTGGCCACTGTAAGGAGCCAATTTAAGACAAAGAAAAATATAAAAATAAAAAAAGAGATGAGAGAAGGATAAGTGAAAGCTAGAGCTAGTTCTTTAAAATAATGAATACAACAGGCAAATCTTTGGCAAATGTGATTAAAGAATGAAGAAAAAATACATACATGCCACATTAAATGGAAATACATTTGAAAATTACAAGGAAATGGGTGATTTCCTAGGAAAATATGTTATCAAAATTGATCTGGGGTAAGGGAGAAAATGAATCTGACTAAAAGTGAAATAAACTGAAAGTCTACTTTTTAAAAAGTCACCATGCCCAGATGGTTTTACACTTGAAGTTCTACCTAACAATCAAGAATTCATAAATTCTGCTAGTATAGTATAGTAATTCAAACTGCAGATAATTCTTTTCTTTTTTTTTTTTGAGGAACACTAGCCCTGAGCTAACATCTGCTGCCAATCCTCCTCTTTTTGCTGAGGAAGATTGGCCCTGAGCTAACATCCGTGCCCATCTTCCTCTACTTATGTGGTACGCCTGCCACAGCATGGCTGGATAAGTGGTGCCTAGGTCTGCACCTGGGATCTGAGCTGGCAAACCCTGGGCTGCCAAAGTGGAATGTGCGAACTTAACTGCCGTGCCACCAGGCTGGCCCCGATAATTCATTTTTAAGAAGCCAGCACAGTCTATATACAAAAACCTGAACTAGCACAAAAAGAAAATTATAAACCAAAATCATTAATGAATCCAAATGCAAAAATTCTAATTAAAATATATTTTAGAAAATTGAATCCAGCAGTGTACTAACAGAATAATAAGCTATCATGACCAAATACGGTTAATTTCAGAAATGCAAGGCTGGGTCATCATTAACAACTCTACTATACTTTTTATGTCAAATTAAATGATAAAAATGATATGGTTATATAAAATAATAAACAGGCGTTTGCTAGAATGCAGCAGCAAAATTCTCAGTAAAATATGAACAGAAAAGAATAGCTAGGGGCTGGCCTGGTGGCGTAGCGGTTAAGTTCACATGCTCTGCTTCAGTGGCCCAGGGTTTGTGGGTTCAGATCCCAGGTGTGGACCTACACACCACCTGTCAAACCAGGCTGTGGTGGCATCCCATATACAAAAGATAGAGGAAGACTGGCACAGATGTTAGCTCAGGGACAATCTTCACAAAAAAACAACAACAAAAAAAGAACAGCTATACATGAAAAAGATTATTCGCCAAAACATCACATTGAATGGCAAAATACTGAAGTCATTCTTACGAAAATCAGGAACTAAAAAAAGGATTCTGGCTAGTAACATTAATGTCAGTCCACACTCTATAGAGGCTCTAATTAATACAATAGGAAAATTAAATATGTGGCTTAAATATTAGGGATGAGGAAATTTTAAAAAATCTTAATTTGAAGAATGCATGGTGGCATACCTAAGAAATCTGACATTGGACTAACATGGTTTGAGCTAATAAGAAATTTGATAAGACAGTTACATATAACAAATACATAAAGGCCAATTGCTTTTCTCTATATTAGAAACTAATTAGAAATGGAAACAGCAAAAACTTGACTAAACTATACTCAGTTATAAATGTAATAAAAAAGGTACAGGACGTAAAGAGTCAACTTCATCAAAAGTTTAACAACAAGTTTGATAGAAGAGATTTACTGGAAACCTTCAAATGAAAAAAATTAAATCCTTCCACATTATAAATGTAATGCAATGACAATCTCAAATCTAGAATGCATCATTATGGAACTTTACAAAATAGTTTTTTAAAGTCCTTATGGAAGAATACATACATTTTGAAAAAGAAAAATAGTAAGAGAGACCTTTTCAAGTTAGATATTACAGCTAAATATAAAATGGTATGGCATTGACATAAGAATGAACAAACTGGTCAGTGGAAAAGAATAGAGAATTCAAATATTTATACATATATTGTATATATATAAATTTTGGGATATTAAAAATATTTATACATGTATACATACAAATTTATATACACACATATATATATGAATAGTCACATATTCATATCTATGAATATATATATGAACGTTTGGATTGTCTTTTCTAGTCCACTGACTATTTTATCTATTCTTGGGCCCATTCATGTATATATATAACGTGATAGCGGCAGTCAGTCCATTCTCAATGGAAAGAGAGAGGTTGGCTTATTAAGTAAACAAAGCTGATATAATTGATAGTTCATGTCCAGAAGAAAACAAAATTAGATCCTCATTTCATATATACAAAATACGTCTATTCAAAATTAATTTTAGCTGTGAGAGAGGTCTAACTTTAGTAAAACTTTAAATATTAGAAAAAGATTGAAGATCACTTGTGCAACCTAAAAGGGAGGCTGGAGTGGGTAGAAGCAGCAGGACTTTTAAAATAAGACAGGAAATCCAAAGACCAATAGTAAGAAGAACGATAAACCCAAATGCTTGTTAATATCTCCACACCCAAAGTCAATATTCCCAGAAGTTCTAAGTGTCTGATAAATAATACTACCGTACATTACAATTTTGAGGAATATCAGTACTTTTTCCCCAACAATATTTTACGCAACTTTTTGGCATCCTCCCCACAACCCTGCACAGGTTGATCTACGCTGTGTGCTGTGAATGGCTTCAGTAAATACCTCTTGAGCGATATTGAAACTGTAGCAACTTGATCATCTTGCTGCTCAAGTTGAGCTCCAAGTGTTTCTCTCTAACCTTCCAATGATGGGGTGGGAGCTATTTTTAAGATCAGTAGGGACCACTTAATATAAAGAGAATTGTCCAGGCCTCTTCTTGGACATGTTGAGGATCTCTAAGACAAGTGACATCATCTTTCCACTCAGGAGTACGTAAATGTCTTCCTGTTCTGATAAAGTCCCGAAGCACTGAATAAATGTCATCTATTAGGAGATGTGGTAACACTAAAAGACATTATTCAGAAGAAGCAATTAGGAAATAATTATTTACATTTCTTTTAGGTCTCTGATGTGAGTTGAAGTCAATAGTCCTTTTAAGTTTACTACTTAAATGATTATATTTCCCAAATAGTTCTTTTTTCTTTCTTCTTTTTTTTTTTGTGAGGAAGATTGGCCCTGAGCTAACATCCTTGCCAATCTTCCTCTATTTTATGTGGGATGCAGCCACAGCATGGCTTGATGATCAGTGCTAGGTCCATGCCCAGGATCCAGGCCAGGCTGCTGAAGCGCAATGTGTGAACTTAACCACTATGCCACCAGGCTGGCCCCTCCCAAATAGTATTTTTGAAGACATTAAGAAAGTTAGTTTATGAGCAAACTACTGATAAAAGACTGATGATTGAATTCTAAGTATTTACTTATAAACTCATTTATAAATTAATTTGTAAACACTTAGAAACTCCTTTCACTTACATATTTATACATAGCGAATATTTACTTTCAGATTTTTGTCACTATTCTCTGGTCTTGTGCATTTATACAGATATCTGCCAAAAGTTTAGTCTTATCTTTTAGAGGGAGGCATTTACTCCCATGTTACTAAAGAAACTGGAATGTTGAATTTAGAAAGTTGCCAAGAAGAGTTTATGCAACATCACAGAAAAAATATTTTCCTGGACCTGCATCTTACATCTGGTGGTTCACAATATCTCATAGAGTAGATTTGGTCCACGATAACTACCGTTCCTGGCATACATCAGACCACCTAGGATTTTAATTAGCTGTTCTCATATTTTATTAAGTGCCTACTATGTGATGGGGATAATTGGTTGTTTTTATTCTAGGCACCGGCCACCATCAACAAATGGGAAACCTCAGACTATTGGAAGCTTAAGCTTTATTTCCAGTAGACCTGGCAAGAAAAGAAATATTTCACTACTGCTTGGCTCAGATGACTAGATGGTCAACTGGCTAAGTCAATTTGGATGCAGAATTTATTAGAAACGACACCATAAGGGACTAGGTCATCAGGGACCAACTCTAGAAAGAATCTGATCTGAGAAGTATCTTTCAGTATCTAACTGAAGAGCTGTAGCCTTGGGAACAGAGACTCTCAGGCAGATTTTTGCCATCTTTTTCATCTAACCCTTGAAACCCACAGTAGGCACAAATGGGCGACATGCAAGACTTGTCATTCTAATGAACCACACAGCTCTACGGATCAACTGTCTTCTCTGTGAACTACAGGAACACTGCTTTCATTACCATGGAAAATGGAGTTTCCACCATGCATCGGATTAACCTGCTAATCTTAGCAAATGAGCACAGCTGAGTACAAATTCCAACTTGATTTCTTCAACTTTCTACTCACTAAAAGATTGAGCATACCCTAAATTGCTTGTCATGGGAAATACCTGCTCCTCCAAGAAGGTAACAAATGTGCCTGCTGACAGTGCTAAGATGGCAGATAATCATCTAAGGTCTATAACTAGCTCATTCATCCAGCCCATTCATTATAAAAAGTGATTTCACCCCCCTCCCCGGAACATGCATCTTTAAAAAAAATTATAGGTTATATTTTTTTTGAAGTGCAGATTCATTAACCCCAAATTATCAGTCTTCTTAGAAAGGACATTATCTACACAGTTAACTATATGTAAGTGTACACTGACAATTGTGTATTCTCATAAGTAAGTTTTTGTATATATTTAAATAACACAACCTAATTGGGAAATTTCCTATGCCACTTTTGAAAACGGAATTATTTACATTAGAGACCAGAAGGGAATAACTGGCTTAGTAACCAGTTTGTCACATTAAAATGCATTTTTAATGTATACTAATTTCAAAAGGCTCATAGGAGAGTCAGCCTGCTTTGTGGTCCCCATACAATATCGGGAAGAATCTGGACTGGGAACGACTTGTGTATCTCTGAGCAAAGCACTGGATTGTTGGGTCTGTGTTTCTGGATTTAAAAAATGAAGCACTTATAAAATTGCAGCTAATTCTTCTGCACAAAGAATGTTATTTAACTAATACAGGAGTTGAGCACGGCAATATTAATTATAACATTATTATTCACCTTCAGCGTCTTAAAACACTGAAGGAAAAACTTCATAGAAAAACACGATGGACTCTGTGAAGATGCAAACATTTTTTAGTAATATCTGGCATAGCAAACATGTTCTTAATTAAAATTTCAGGATATTAAGCTTATGAGTAATAATAATTACCTAAAACATTGATTATTGAGAGCTGGTGGTGGGAGGGGCCTAAAGGTAACAAATCTTTATTTTACAGAGGAAAAGGCGCCCAAGGAGGTTAAATAACATTCCTAAAGACAAGCTGATGATAAGCAACTAAGCCAAAACCAGAAGGTCCATTTTCCCGGCGCTCCTCTTTTGTGTTGTCTTCTATCTCGCATTTATTTACTTATTGAAATATCAAAATAATGAGGGAAACACTAAGCCCCAGCCTGCAAATATTAATCAATCCACTACCAATGAAGAGTTATTATTCCCTGACACCTTTTGAGCAATGGGAACTGTGATCATTGCAAAAGAATCAGTAGCGATTTCCCAAAGCGAGTGATCCATTTTAAGTAGAGACAACCCTTTTGACAAGCAAGGCATCCGGGGAGAAGCATCGTTGTGAGGTCTTTGGGGCAAGGAACCGTCCAAAGGAGGGATTTCTACAGTTTGGACATCCTCGTCGGCTCTCAGGGCGGCCCGCCGGGGGGACGGGGCTCGGGGAACGCATCGAGGACCCCGCGCCGCCCGGGGACCCCGCCCCGTGCCCGGCCAGCTCCCAGCCCCGCCGCCTGCCCCGGCCGCGCCGCCGCCGGGCCGGGTCGTGGGCGCCGCCCCGCGGGCAGGGGCGGGCGTTGGGGGCCGCGGGGCCCGGGAAGGGGCGGCGTACCTCCAACTCGGGCGAGGCTCCCACTGGGGTCATAGCCGCGGGGGTCGTCCCCCCGGGAGTGGTCCCCACAGACGCCGCCATGATCTCGCCGGAGCGGAGCGGCCCCTCGTCGCCTAGACAACCGGGGCGGGGCCGGGGTCGCTGGGCGGGGCAACTGGTCCCAAGGGAAAGCTGCTCCCGGACCGAGCCGGGCCCCACTGGGGAAAGCGGGGACCGGGCCGCTCTCCTGGGAAGAAGGAAAAAGCGGTTTAAATAACAGCAATTTTAAATGAACTATTACATTTGGAAGTGTGTAATGCTAACACATGGCAAGATCTCCGTAAATATTAAAGTGAAATATATCAGTGGGATTTGACCATTGATATCTGATATTAAGGAATTGTAATTTTAAGGTGTTATGACGTTATTGTCATGTTTAGAAGGAAAAGAATTTTATCTTTTTGAGATACATACTGAAAGATTTAGTGATGATAAAATGATCTAATGTCTGCGATTTATTCCAAAATAATGAGGGTGGCGGTATAGCAGATGAATCAAGATTGGGTACATGGAGTGGGGCGGGGGCCCACTATACTATTCTATTTTATACATGTTTGAAATTTTCCATAATAAAAACATTTAAAAACGATATATTTAGTGGCAGTAGGAGTATTCTTTTGGGGATGATAATACCTGCTTGGAAAATGAAATGTACAGTACTTTACCTGCATGGGAGTTGCTATGCAGGAAGCTTACTGTAAAAACTAGACGTTCTTTAAATACTTCAGTTTCCCAACTCTAAAATGAGATAATAGCGTCTGCCTCATAAAGTCACTGTGAGGATCTAACATGTTAATATATGGGAGTGTTTAGAACAGTGTCTGGCACCTGTGTTAGGTTTTATTAGGATTAATATTAGTTTGTATATGTTTCTCCTGACTTTAGTCCATCCTGTATACAGCTGCCAGGATAATTTCTCATCATGGACCTCTTGTATTTGCCCATTGCCTTTCAGATCAATTTGAATAGTTTTACATAACATCATGATAAATGTGCCTTTCCTTCATATTGGGTCATAGTTCAAATTATGCACACGATTTGTACTGTCACCTTGTGTTCATGAATTGTCTCTAGTTTTCTGTATGTTTGGCCAGTCTTTCAAGTGGATTGCAGTGTCCTCCTTTCCATGATGTTTTCACTCGTGAAGAAACTGGTTTAGTTCTTAATACAGAATATTCATTCAACACTGTGTTTATGACTTCCAACCCCATTTAAAAAGGACTCCATTAAAACTTCCTCAATTAGTGAAAATATAGTCAATTTTTAATGATTGCCAGAGTTAACACAAGAGCTACCACCTTACAAACTCATTATGATGCTTAATTATTTGATTATTTCTCTCTGATCACTACTTCAAAGAAATTGAAAATAGCAGGTTACCTTCTGCTAGGTAAGATCTCTCCACATTTCTTTAAATTCAGCATTTGGTAAAATGCCAAAGCATTTATTTCTCTAAACTGCAGCTAGTTTCCCTGAGGATCTGATTTATTTTTCTAGCTTTTAATTGTTCTGCCATTTCTTTGATGGGTTTTAGGTTTTCTGCACCCTTTTCCTGGACCCCAGAACAAGATGGAGTACTCCATTAGAGATGGAATCAGCCGGAGCAGTGACGGAAGGGTTACCTCAGGGAGGGGGGAATATTGTTTTGTAGGAATTCCAATTTTACTGTATTTAATGTTGTAATTTATTGGAGAAGTCAGTTTTGAGGAGGCAATTTAATTATGTGGGGCACAAATTTCTTTGCCCAGTAAGAAGTGGTGTTGAAAACCCGTTAGCTTGAAGGTTACTTTTTTAATTTGCACAAGTTGAAGCTGACTGTAGCCTCTCACTTCTTTTGTAGGGAGGTGCCAAGAAGGAAGACAAATCTCACTAGGTGATTTGCTTTCTTACATGGAAAGGTCAGATAAGTCTTCCTTATAAGGTCTCTTTTGAAGATAAAGGCTTCTAACCGAAGCCTGCAAGATTCCATTTGTTATCTTAGTTTATTGTTTTAGGGCTAGAAGAGAAAAGGAAACATATGGGTCTTGTAGTTTGCAATATTTTTCAAAAAGACCTCTGACTTTTATCACATCACAGCAAAATATGGGGTAGCTTGATATTATTACAGTATTTGATCAATTGGATTGGCTTCTGTTCTAATGAAAGTACTTCAATTTATACATCTGTAAACCCATGAGTAGCTCATTTTATAAATGGAACCAGATTTTCTTGAAGAGGGGCAGTTTCATAATTTTACCAGTTCAAGTATTGGATGTTTAAAATAAACCAGACTTTTAAATACCAGAGATACATTTAGGAAAGGGCTAGATAATCCTGTGATGGATATTGATGCTCTAGTGTGGCAATATATGGTGTTGAACACCAACAGTGAGATTTCAGCTGTCTTCTTAGGGTGGGAAAACATTTCTACTCCACTCTTCATGATTCCTGTGTTTCTTGCTCATTTTAAGTATGAATGAATTTCTTTAATAATAAATGAAATAATGTCATTAATGCAATTCATGACGTATTAGTAATTCAAACACTGATTCCTGAGGTCTTCAATCTCTTAAGTAATACCCATGATGGTCTTAAGTGGATCAGGCTGGAAAAATTCCAGTTTGTGCTTAAAATGGTACTGAGAGACCACAAAGTTCTGAGATGAAATTTAGATAACACATTGTATCTTAGCCTTGAAATACATTAAAATTGTTAGATGTGGAAAGAAAAACTATAAAAAGAGTTTTAATTTGTGAGTAGCTGCAAATTACTTTTGTTACATATTTAATTTTTAGCAAAGAAAGTATTTCGATTTCTAACCAATTTTGCAATATATTTAGTTTTCTTAACCTTTACCTCATCCTCCAATCTGGGCTTCTCATTTCAATCAAGTGCCTTAATCTGTTCAAGTCAGATGTGAGAATGTTTTAAAGTCTTACCTTAATAAAACACATTTACAAGATGGCATGGTAAGCCGACTGTAGTAGAATGCATTCTAAGACTGACTAATTATTATTGGGGGGTATGATCTCCAATAAATAGTTAGTACAATTTTCACATTGTTTATGTCATACTGCAACTCATCTTCAAAACTCTGCACTCTCCCATTGTGGGTATATCTGTTTTTCTCTCTTTCTCCAGTTATTCCCTTTACAGTGGATCGTTATGCTCTTCAAATGAAAATTCTGTTTTTCCCAAATCAGGAAATACTCTCCTACTCTCTTTTCTTAATCCAGAGACTTCTTTAAGATAGTTTTGTAACTTCTTCCTTTTCTTCCTGATTAACTTGTTGAAAAGTGGCCTCTTACTCATCATCTCTCCTTACCCATTCCATGCCCTGCAATCAGACTCTTACCTCCTTGCCCTCCTAAAGCTGTCCTCTCAAGGGCTGCCATGGGGCCCTGTCTTCCTTGGTGTGTGGACATTGTCTGTTTGCCCCTCATATCCACTTTCTACCTTCTCCACTTGGCCTTGTGCCCTGGAAGGCTGACCTTTATGGACTCCATCATGTGGATTTGTCACATTCCTTGCTCTCTGACTTGTGGTTGAGTTTGGCCAATGGGAACACCAGCAGGAGGTTGGAGGGTAGAAGAGTGAGGTCAGGGTCATTTATTCTCCCTGCTCCTTCCCTGCAGGATTGTAGGTTTGGAGTAGTGGGATCCTACGTGAAAGATCTTGAAAGCCACAGCCTGTCCCTCAGCTCCTCCACGGCTACAGTTCTGTCTGGGTTTTAGTAACCATCTCCTCTTGCTCCTTCAGACCTGGGAGTGCTGATGGCACCCTCCTGCTGCTAGCCCCAGGATGCTTCCCCATCCCTTGTTGGGTTCCCTTATTCTGCCCACATGTTTATACATAACTCCTTCACTAAACTTTCCTTGGTTCTCACTTTTGTGCCATCTGTTTCCTGCTGGTTCCTTGACTGATATCAACAAAAATGAGCTCCTAACATTTAACACAGAAGAGTAAGTCTGGCTTGTTCAACACTGTTGTAGTCCGCCACTTAGCTGTTATGCACTGAGCAGTATTGTCTATAAGTGACCTTGAACAATTTTCTAGGTAGAACTGCACTCCATCCCCAACCATGCTCCATCTGGAGGAGTTGCACCCAAGTTAAACTACCCTCAGAACTGATGGCAGGCAGGGGGGTTTGTTAACTACCCATGACACCTGTGCTAACTATGTCCTGGGCAGCTATCAGTCCCGGACAACTTGTGTAAATTGCTGGCTCCCCAAATCCAAACTTTCTGATGCCAAGGAGCCTGTGTAGTTTCCCTGTTGATAAGACTTCTTCAAAACTTGCCCAGATAAAGGCAGAGCAATAGACCACCTGGGCTCTGGCGTGCCGCTCCATGGGCGACGGAGAGTGTGAGGGAGCCACAGTGCCTTCGTCTTCCCTTCTTGCCCATCCTGGCCTTGAAGCTGACCCCTCCGAATAAAACATTATCTTGTCCATGTGATGTTGTGAAATTCATCTGGAAACCAGGAGGGACACACTAGGCGGGGGAGGTTGCTTGTGAGAATGTATGTTGTTCACAGATTCACCTGTCTCAACACGTTTAGATTTGTAATCTGTATTTGTACAAAAATTCATTATTTTCATTTACAAATTATTCTTTATTGGATTATTTGCCTTAGTATTTTTGTCATTCCTTTTATGCTTCAGTGAACTACTTTTAAGTCATTGGTCCATATTTGTGGACTGGTAATTTAATGCAAAAAAACAAGTTAACAAACCTAAGCAATGGCATACATATTAAGTGAAAACACTTCAGCTGACAAAAAACTGCACCCTCCTTCCAAAATGTTAGCCAAGGCAGACTGACCCAAATTCCTCGAAATGTAAGTAGAATCTTTAAACACATGATTTGAGTTAGCCATAAAGAATTTTTGTAAAAATCAAAATTCATCCTACATTTTACGTTTGTGAAATATGTGTGATCAGAATAGTTTCAGTGATTTTTTTTTCTTCTAAAACTGCCTAAAAGTGACTGAGTGCCACTTAATTAATGGCAGGGGACTCCACTGCTTTTTGAATATATTTTTGAGAAAACTTATCCTGGGGGAGTCAGGGGAGTGCCTTGACTGAGCAAGCATTGCCCCCTTCTCTGCTCTACCGCCCACCCTAATCCACTTTTAAATATAGCACGTCTAATTTTACCTGTTTTACATAATAGCTTTCTTGTAAATTTTGTTAGAAGGAAGGATTTTGAGCTTTAAAAAGTTTGAAAGCCACCAGGTAATCTCTAAGGCAACTTCAGATCTAAAAATTCTTTTACAGTATAATTTCCTAAAGCATTCATTGTGTGAAACGTACACTTTGACAAAGAAACAGTATTACTGTTACTAAACCTTTGTGATGTATATGCATGTTTATGATTCTAGGGAAGTAAAATAACATACATTAACTCATTTAATCATCAGAATCCACTGTCGTGGTATTCCACACAGCACTGCTTTTGATCAAAGATACTATTTCACAACAAAAGAAGTGTGGCAATGGGCCCATGCTCATGGAATTCACTGGTCTTACCATGTTCCCCCTATCCTGAAGTAGATGGCTTGATGGAATAGTGGTATGGCCTTTTAAATACTCAGT